CTCTTAGTTTCTTGAGTCTTGTCACTTATACTAGGAAAGTCTGGTTTCACTATTAAAAGTGATACAATTGGGTATAGATATACTATGACTTTAACATGCATTATTGTCCATTTTTAAGGGACCATACAACCTTTCCAAGTATTTGGTTAAGGGTTGTAACCCTCAACCTCCTACCTTCCTCAACATTAACTAAAGACCCAAAAGAGACTCAACACATCTTAAAATCCCACTTCAAGAGACACACCTACTCAATGAGGGTTTTCCAATAATGGCTTACCCAAGCACTACTCCAAGATATCCTATGTGAAATTTTCAGTTTTCAAAATAATTTTCTCTCCTCAAGTCCTAAGTTTGCCAACATGATTTAGCGTCATATTGCATTCTAAACATATACACCTCACCATACATCTACTATATACATCATATCTAGTTAATACATATAGAGATCAACAACATCAATCATGTATAGCATACCAATGCTTAACACCTCAACCAAGAATAACATACCAATGTTTATTATCATCACCCTACATCATACAACATGCAATAGATACAAGTATTATATTCATGTTCACCAAATTCACCCATCATACAACATGTATCAACATATAACTTATCAAAATAAATTATTATACAATGACAACCTTCACATAAAATAATACATAGGAATTTATAATCATAGTTTTAAAACCGGTCATCAAACTAGTTAGGGTACTAAGCCAGTGGGTCAAAGGTTGAACCGGTGGCTCACTAATTAAACTGCATGACTCGATTTTTATTAATTTTTTTAAAAAATATTCATGTTAAATATATTTTATACTTATAAATTTCAATAAATTCATATCCTATTTTAAATTTCAATTTTCATCTTATTTAAAATTATCTTTATTTTTATTTTGTATAAAGAAATACATTAAAAAAAATTGCATGTTAAACTGTATATTAATATAAATTAAAAATATAAATAATATGTACATATATAATATGCTTGCAATTGATATCAGAAAATAATATATGTAATATCTATATAGATATATTATTAAATATATAATTTAAAATTAATAATATACTATAAAAGTTATTTAAGTTGTATATATTCTAAACAAATACATTAGAACAAGTAGTTATTTTTATGTTTAATAAGACTTTTTACTCTTCCATTAATAGATTCAATTCTTATTGTTATTTTTGTGGTTTGTGGTTCCTTAAAAAAAATAAAAAAATTTGTGGTTGAACCGGTTTGACCCCGGTTCACTGGTCGAATCGAAAAATTGACTGGTTTAATCCGGTTTGAAACAGTTCAAATGCATAACCAATCCAACTTAAGATTCGGACCGGCTGGACTACCGGTTCCCGGTTCAATCGGTCTGACCGGCTAGTCCGATCCGATTTTTAAAACATTGATTATAATACTTCAGTCAAACTCATCTTTATCTCATATCAAAGGTAAAAAGGTTATCTATAATTGTTACGAAGACTTCAAGCTCTAACTCCATCATCTACTATATTGAAAATCACAAAAAACTGCAACAATTTGCCAAAATACTGACAACTTGACCTTTGCTCACTAAAAAGGTCATAATTGGTGTTCTAGACCCCTTTTTAAGGTGATTTCAAAGCTATTGAAAATCCAACATCTAAGGTTACAACTTTCATGAAGATCTGAACAACTAATTTGACTCATACTGGGAATCTTGAGACAATCACAATCGTGACAATTACGTCATGCCTATAAGAGACTCAACTATGCTACTATGCATGCCTTTTGACTTCAGGTTGTAAGGATCACAATTGTGAACTTGAGTCACACCCATGACCAACTCTGTTCTCACTCTTACAACATTTTTCGACCTTTGACAATGTCAATCACGGTCATGATCACTAAGTCACGCCCATAACGTCTCCCAAACATGGGATTACAAACATGAACTCCTCAAGAACATCTCCAATGAATTCTAAACCACCTCAAACTCATTTGTAAGCCCAAAATCAAATCAAAATCAAATCAAAACCATCAAACTCACATGCATCCTATCCAAAAGATTCTAAGCAACATATGCAACATGCATGCACTCAACGCCAAGAGATCAACCACATTGGGTTTTGGGTTCACCTTCCCTAGAAACCCCAACTTCACAACATGGAATTCATGAAAATTCAAAACTCAGCCACATAATCACATTTTTTTTATGATGATCCAACCACTTGCAACTCAAAATGTAATGTGATTTGAGTTTTAACTTCCCTTACCTTAATCTCCAAGCAACTAAGAAAAGAGAAGGAGAAGAAAGGAGAACTTCGAGCTTCCAAGCTCCACACTGCCTCAACCTCTTGATTCTTAGCTTAAGCTTCGAATCCGACACTCTCCGCTACAAATCTTACAGTCCAGAAGAATCTAGAAAGAATAAGGGAAGAAGAATCATAGTTTCTCTCTAAGGTTTTTGAAAAATAAGAGACCATGAGCTCTTTTCAAAACAAAAACCTTATATATTCTTCCTCTTAGGGTCAATTAAACCTCTAGCTTGAGACCCTCACAACTTACCCAATGTTATAGATTCAAAATATGATTATTAGGTAAACATTTAAATTTTATCTAATGTAATATATTTAAGACACAAAGTGTTGTTCCTTTTTCTCCTTTGTGTTATGAGCACAATTTATGGTCATGGGTACACTAGTGAAATTACTAGCTATAGTAGGTAAATGCAAAGTCATCCAATATGGTATAGTTATTTGAAAATTTTATAAATAATGCATTTTGGTCCTCAATAGGAACTATAGGAGTTGCTTCTTTCGAAAAAGAAAAAAAAAAGTTGTATGTGTTTGTATTGAAGAAGGTGAAAGTGAAGAAGGGCATGGATAGCTTTGGTGTTTGAGAGATGATGGTTGCCAAAATGAAAGCTCCCTAGTACGATGTTTCAAGTATGCATTATGCGTCATTGTTGGTGATTTGTAGCTACCTATTGAAACTAATATATAAGGATCTATATTCGTATGAGTTTTTTTTTTTATTTTAGGGTTTCTTGGTTACATTGTCAGAATATTATTGTAAGGATCTTTGTTGAAGGTTTTTTTATTTTAGGGTTTCTCGATTACATTGTCATCATAATCTTATAACATTAAAATGTGATAATGAATTGAATATTAGTGGAGTAAGAGTTTTTAATTTTTTGTTTTCAAAAAGTTGTAAGTGTCTTGTGTGTGTTCGAGTAGCATGATTGACTCTATTGTAGGAGTGACAAATTAATGGATCAAATCATTTTTTAGGAAGATCATAATGGATCAGATAAAAATAATCCGTTAACCAATTTAGATCCATTAAAAAATTACATAAAAATTTAATCCATTTAAAGCAAAAAAAAATCCATTTAATCAATCCATTAACAAATTTTTCATGGATGGATATCCAATTTTGAAACATTGTATTTCTCTCTTTTTTTTTTTATAAGTCATTACATTTTCCATTAAGTTTTTTAAATTCACAAGTCTTTTTTTCTTTTATGTCAAAATATTCTTTTAAAATCTCAATCTAATAAACATTTTAATTGTAATCCAATGGATTTTGAAAAATTAGTAAATGGATCACTAACCATCTATAAAATTAAATGGATAGATTAGATCTGTTGCTATTTAATTTTATCATAATGAATGAATTTACTTATAGATGAATTAGATGGATGATGGATAAATAGATTCATTTGTCACTCCTACTCTATTATTAATGAAGGGATAAGTACAATGGATGGTGAGAATGTAACTATTGAGATAAGTGACATTTTTCATACAATATAATAAAATAATAATGTTATATGTCATAATGGTTATCGTGAAGGTTTATAATATGAAGCTTGTGATGCTCCAAAAGGTTTAATAAAAGATATTTTTTTTAGGGGTTAGAAGGTATTTCTGAAGACAATAGAAAAAGAAGATAATGTTTATGAAAATGAAGAAAATAATGATTTAGGTATTGTTTTGGAATAAATGATTGAAGAGGAATTGGAAAGTGTGATTAATGAAGGACGAATTGAATTTTTTGACGGTGTAAAAAAGGCCACAATTTCTAATTTGGATTTTTTTTTTTAATTTGGATCAACATTTAATTTAACATGAACTTAGGAATGTTCAATTTATAAGTCATGAAATAACTTATTTCATTATTGGTTTGCAAAAGTTTTGATGCATTTTGAAATACCATTAATTCTTTTAAAAGGCCTTTTTGTGGAGAAAAAAACACACTAAAAAGGAGAGTTGATTAATGTCAAAAAAACTCGACACATTTTTAAACAATGAAATAATAACAAGATCTTATGAGTACATACAAATAATTAAGTAAAAAGATCACAATGATTTTATGCTAGTTTGTTTCAACTACTAAAACTCCATCCAACTTTTGATCAATCAAATCAAGTACTTAAAAATTCAAATATTTTTTCACAAATCACTTCTAACAAGAAATTAAAAAAGAAATATATAAAATTTATAATTGAAACTCAATTAACTACAGCTTATTTTCTCCTGTAAGTACTTGCAAAAAAAATTGGACCAACATGTACAAATTGATTCTTTTAGATTCATTTTACAGTTTTAATTTCAGTCCTACTGTATAAATATTAATATAAACAAAAATACTAACGACAGCCTTCTTTAACACTTCATTATTAGTACACTCCGAACTCATGATTGAAATTCACGGATTCTAGTGAACGTTATCTCCAAATTGAGCCCATTAAATAAGAGTAATCCACAAAATGTGATTTTCAAAAAATTTAAACGAATAGTAAATAAAAAAAAATGTTAGGAAGAAAGTATTAAAGTGTCACTAAGATTTCTCTTCACCAAAAACTTTATCCAGGCACAACCCTTTATTTGATTTGTCAACATCCAAAGTGATTTAGCGTGCGAGTCCGGCGAAAAAACTAAATTAGGTGTAAATTCTCATGGCATAATTCATTAATTTGTTACTTAAACACTTCAAATAATAACCGTAGTCAAGAAACAAAACAAGGAATAAGCTAATGGGATTTACTGAAATGAAATTTCATAACATCAAGAGACTAAAATATAAAACCAAATTCATTCAACTTAGTTGGTCATTGAAATGAAACACACTAAATTACTCTTTAGAACAAAACTTTGACAAACTCAGAAGCTCTAGCGTTAAGCGATAATATGTTCTAGACAAAGCTGAATAGAATAGACTACAATTAATCGAAGAGACCGAAACCCATATCCTGCACAACAAAAACAAATTGAAGCATAAACAATCAGAAAACCTTCATATTACCCAAATTCACACATGCTTGAAATTTGCACACCAACTGAAAGCTAGTTATGATACAAAGCTACATCAAAGACATTGAAAGGCAATATGCAAGGTGCATTGACCATATTATGTTTTGATCTCTAAGTCCAACCAGTAAGATATACAGAACCATTTAAATTAACAGAATGAATAAAACTTAAATGTAGTATCAAAGGTGTCATTGATATTGTTCTCCAATCAAAATTGAAATTTCACCTTGATAATATACATGATAAAAGATTTCACTAAATGTCTATGTGTGTTACCAAGACAAAACTTCAATTTTGATCGGCAAACAACACAAGTAATACCTATGATACTATATCTAAGTTTTATCCTAACAGAATATGCAGCAACTCACCAACCAAACACAAATTCATAACCATTTACAGTGCACCAAAAAGCACAATTAGAAGACCAAAAAGAAGAATAAATCAAGAGGTAAAAGACCACTTACATCATCAGATTCTTCTTTCTCCTCCTCTTTTTCCTCTTTCTTTGCCTCAGCAGCTGGACCATCGGCAGCAGCACCGCCAGGAGCGGCCGCAACAGCAACAGCACCACCACCACCAGCAGGCACTGAGGCCAGCTTTTCCCTACCGGCAGCAATGACCTCCACTATATCTCTACCCTTAATTTCAGACAACAATTGTTCAATCCTATCATCATTGGCATCTGCTCCAACTGCAAATTAAAAAATTAAAACACCATTCCTCAGCTTCATGAACCTCTCCACAATATATACCCATCAAAACTAATACATAACAAAATAAAACGAACCCGTTTACCAATTTTGGCACCAATGAACCAAAATCAATTGGGGCAAGTAAATCTCAACCTAAACCTACTTAAGAGCAGCACAAATTCACACTCATACCTAAACCTAATTAATTAGAATAAGATATTCAACACATAAAACAATTAAAATAAAAATAAGATTTTGATGGAAGATAAGAATGCAGCGTACCACAGCCAAGGATTTCCTTGATGTCAGCGGCGGAGGGGCTGGTGTTGCCTCCGAGCACGGCCAACAAATACGCGGCGATCACCTTCATCGTTCTGCAAAATCACGCACTGTAAGTAACAGTCACAAAAATATAAGAATACAAAGACGCAGAGAAGAAGAAGAGAGAGAGAGAGAGAGAACCTGAGAGAGAGGGTGAAGATGCGAACGAGGAGAAAGCAAGCGGCGACTTTCAAAGAGGTTATGTTATGGCTCTGTTAGAGTGTGATACTGCTAGGGTTTCCTTTTGTTTTGCAGAAAGAGAGAGTAACCGGTTTGTGGGCTTTGTTATCCCTACCTGTGTTAAGAGGCCCATTTTCACCAAGTATTATGGGCCTTCACAGATGACTTTGGATGGGCCTTCTTCAGAATTGGAGCAGATCGGCAATTAACAATAGGTTTATGATATATACACCTCTCTTTTTTAATAAGTACACTTCTTTTTTTTTTAAATAATTAAAATTTTAAAATAATTTTAATTTTTAATTTTTAATTTTTTAATTTTACATCCATAACATTTAATTTAATATTTCTTTTCACATATCTTTCCTCATTTTTTCAATTTTTATATGTACTTTCTTACCTTTTTTTTATCCACCTATTTTGATAATATTTAAAAACTAAAAGAGAAAAAAAAAGTGTATAAAAAAGAAGAAAAAAGTAACAAATTGAAAGTTAGAGGTATAAAATTAAAAAATTTTAAAAAAATTACAATATTTTATAATTTTTTTAAAAAATAAAGGAGATGTGCTTATAAAAAAAAGAAGAAAAAAAAGGAGGTGTATATATCATGGGAGGCAAGAAGGAAATGGGCCCTAAATAAGTAGTTCAACAACTCAGCCCGTGATTCAAGTTCTGCTATTATCCAATTTTGCTTAGAACTTAGGGAACTAAATTATTTATTTTCGTTAAGTCGGTGTTAAAAGAATAAAAAAGAGATATTTTAACCTTTCGAACAAAATAAGAAAAAGAAGATAAAAAATCATCAAGTTTCAGTTTGACTTATGTTGCTAATTTATGACTTATTATTTTTGTTTTATGAACTTTTGAAATTATTTTTAATTTTATTAATATTAGCATATAATAATTATTTTAATACTAGATATTATTTATGTAACAACCCGGCTAGTCACCACACAGAGTACAACAAAACAGTATCGCACATAAAAGAGCAAGTATATATATATAAACCACTAAAATATATACACAAGATCCAATCTAGGGCTAAGAATCAGAGTATATATAAACTACAGCCCAATTGCTACACTATGTAGCTAAAACAGCAAAACATCCAAAAGAATAAACTCCATCTGCCAGCTGCAGACCCGTCTCAACTAACCAACCTAACCCTGCCCTGTTCCCATACATAGTATGATCATTGCAGTCCAAATCACATGGAAACAACAAAGGGTAAGCTAGTGAAAAGAACCAGCATACATATATATAAGAATACATGAAAGGTAAAAATAGCTACAGCTAACAGCATATCGTCTAGTTCAGCAACATCAGCATATAATATGTCACAGAATACAGCATGAACAGCAGTAAACACACAATGCGTCGTCATGCATATCAGCTAGATTTGGTCGCTTGTAAGCGGTATAGCTCGACCTGACCCTTATACCGTGGTCGCTTTGTACATGTGTGCCTCGACCTTGCCCACACACGGGACCACTAAGAACTTAGAGGAGAACAGCATAGTTACCACTCCAAGGGTCAGCTTTCCAGGGAGGGTTTTCAACAAATTGGGCTCTAAGAGCACCACAGCTACCTCAATCCACACAATGGGATGAGCAATTTCGAAAAAAAAACATCTCCTCTAGTCTTAGTGATCAATAGTTCAGCCTTACGGCCTACAACAGCTCAGCCTTACGGCCTACAACAGCTCAGCCTTACGACCTACAACAGCTCAGCCTTACGGCCTACAACAGTTTATATCAGCATGCAGCACAACACAACAAATCAGCATACAACATACAGCACAGCTAAATAATATACAACACAGCTTAAACAGCTCACAGCTCAACAATATTCATCAATCATAGCTCAACTCAGCATATAACAACATCTATCAGTATTTTCAACATATACCAGCATATAAAACAGCATCTCATCCGCGCCCGGCGCACTCATGGTTATGCCCGGCGTGGCCCAACCAGAGAGCATCAGGGCTCAAACGTGCCCGGTGCAATACCCATTGCGCCCGGCGTGCTAGGAGGCAGAGACCTCAAAAGGTCTCATACGCCCGGCGCAATATCAATTGTGCCCGACGCCACCTCTGGTAGAGACTCCTAAGGAGTCTCCACGCCTGGCGAGACGTGGTCACGCCCGGCGCAACACTAGAAACCCCAAAAACATGTTACATATTGATATCGCGCCCAGTGCGGTCCCAACCACGCCCGACGTGGGCCATCCAGAGGCTCACACTCTCAAGCTCGCCCGGCGCATACACCATTGCACCCGGCGGGCTTGCCCAAAGGAGCCCTCTGGTGGTCACGCGCCCGGCGCGGCGCGAAGAACTGCGCCTGGCGTGATACTTAGCAACAACTTACCAAGTTCGAAAATCTTGCCCAAAAACTGCAAAAATCAACATTTCCAGCACATGCAAACTAGCCAAAACGCCACATTTTCATCAAACATAAAGAAAAACACCTCATTTTCAGCATGCAACCATTAACAAGGAAAAATCCCCAAATTTCATCAAAACCCCGAATCCCTGAAAAACCCATTTTCTTCCATCTCATCCAGTAATCAACCAACATCAACAATGAGTTTCTAAACTCATTTCCACACAAATCCAGCCAAAAACCTAGCTTCCCTTACCTCGGTGAAGAATCCGAGCTCCGGGAAGAAGAACAACGAGAGAAGAAATGGAGAAGAGAAAGCTTGAGAAAAAAGAGAGCTCCACATGGCTCAGCTAGCTCCTTCTAAACTTGATTAGCACCTAAGCTTACCAAAAGAGATCAGCAAGTGAGTAGGAAGAATTTGAAGAAGGAAGAGTGAATGAGAGAGTGAGAATGAAAGTGAGTGAGAGTTGAAAGGGAGAGATGAGAGATGCGAGTCTCACAATTTACTAGATTGTTATCTATATTTTTTTTTTTCATCTTCTCTCATTTTTTTTTTCTTTACCAAATACATTCATCCTTTACAATATTTTATATGTTTATTTTCCTTTTCATCCTATTTTTATTTCATCAAATAAATGATTAATTTAAATTAGTATTATAGTTTGTGCGTTATTCAGACATATAATATATAACTAAAATTTATAATAAATTATATATACAAATAAATAATATGTTTATAATATATTATATATAAATAATATTTAAAATTTTTATGATTACGTATTTTAAAAATATAAATTATATTTTAGATTATAGCACAAGATTAATATTATTTATAATAATTTATTTTAACTATAAAAATTAAATTCATAAATAATCATGATAAATAAAAGTCAAATTGTATAAGAACTTAAATAAAATAAATAAAAACAATCTATAATAAAAAAATAATTAAAAATTTTCTTACACAAAATAGTCATTCATGTTCAAACTTCTTCCTTTGTCATTTCTCACAACCATGGTTGTGACACCCTTACTACCCCAACACATATATTGT